AACAGTGACCTACCTGCAACCAGACAAAGCCTGGTCTATCAGAAATCCAAGATCCGCAGGAAGTTGGTCCACTCGAATTTCAGGTTATCTATCTAGGAAAGCTGTGATTGTACAGTATGCATGGCCTCCGAGCAGTCGCAAACATCAACTGCAGGGACTCCGCGAATTGTACATAGCTAAGGGTTTCCCTGCAGAACTGCTGACCTGAAAGTGTCAAAATTCTGACTTTGTTGCTTACTGTGAAGTTTCCGTATCGGTGTGTATTGGCATCAATACCCATTACTGCGAGCTTGGCTCGTGGCAGCTCTAATAGTTGGCATCCTTTGTGCCCCTGCCATGGCTTCCTATGTGTTTCAATTTTTCTGTGGTGACACATTGAGTAAGGGAGGATCCAAAGGATCCAGCCCGTTGGCGCCTGTTTTGTCACTGCCGGCTCCGGTGGAAGAGCCACATCCTCGTCCACGGCCAAGACCAGCCCGGTCGCATCGTGGACGATATTCTTCCAGATCACCCTCGGCGTCGTGAAGAAAGGTCCCGAGGAAGATCAAAGAGGCATCGGCGAAGCCGAACACCTACTAGGGACCGGCCAAGGAGGGAAGAGCCAATGTATCCACCGGGCAATTGGCGAGCACCAGCGCCTTGGGTTCCCCCACCGAGGCCAGTTCTGCCGCCACCTTCTGCACCACCGCCTCCACATCATGCTCCCCCGGGGAATGTTTCTGCATGCTGGTTTCCACCACCGCCGCCGTTGCCGCCTCCTTCTACTCTACCTTTTGCGGCTCCGGATTTAAGGCGACCAGCCGTGCCTCATACACTGCCGAGGCTGGCTAGGCCCAATAAAGCACCGGAACCGGTGGTGCCACAGGCGAAAGCCCCAGCAGCTGATCTCTCGGGCCCTGGTAAGCAGGCCAAGCCGGCAAAGAAAGGGCCATCAACCTCCAATCAGCTGGCTCCATCGGAAAGCCAGCAACAGATTGACGATCAATTTTTTCGGGGCCTCATGTCTGCCAATATCAATGATGTGGAGGATCAGCTGGAAATCCAGCTGTCAGGATTTTCAGCAGTGGATCATATTCCAGGTGGGATGACCACCCTGAGCCAGTACCTCTTTTATCGTCAGCAACTTTTGACTGCGCCGTTTCCGGATCAGTGGGTCATGGCACCCTGGCAAGCACTGCGAAGCAATGCAGCCCGAGCGGCACTGGTTCGCAAGTACCAGCGCCCTTTTTCGTCTCTCAAAGACCCTGAGAGACAAAGATGTGCTCGGTTTTTGCTTAGTTTGTTTCCAGAGCAGGTGCCATCGAACACCATAGGCAGGGAAGAATTTTTCGGCTTCGTTGACTGCATTTTGCAGTCCAGACTTCATTGTGAGAGGCACTTCGAAGAAGGTGCCTCAATGTTTCATGATGTGGAAGAAAATGTAGTCGGATACCGTTTCAGGTGTACCGGTTTTCCCGGCCCACCCCTGGCCCAGCAAAACTGGCATCTCTGGGCACATGCCACTACCAGAGACGGGGTCACAGGAATTTTGGCTACGGGCAAGATCCTGCCTACGGATCACAGTGTAGCCGGCCTCGAACCTCAAGAAGATACGTTTTTCTTCTACGGCAGAAGTACAACAAACCCCAATTGGGGTGCAGGAGTTGTACAGCTTGCCTGCAAGTGCTACCACTCAACTAAGAATTGTTCTGGAGTGGTTTTTGCAGGCTTATTGCCCAGCAACCATGTTAAGGGCAAGAATGCATGCACCAGATATGAGAACAATCTGGCGAGATTTCATGCTTTGGTCCACAGCTGCTCTTCGGACAGACGGTGGGCAATTCGGTTCGCGGCGGCTCGCATTGATTTTGTCTTTGTTCTTTCATAACGAAGCAAAGCTGACTATCCTCAGCAAGAGAGCCGACAACGCCGCAGCACTAGGCTCAAAGCTGTCGACAACGAGCCTACTTTGGCTCTGGCAGATGGCCCTCCTGACGACAGCTGGGGCCCATGGGGTAATCCTGCAACCCCTAAGATAGAGCTGCCAGATGCAGATGATCCTGAGGAAGAGAACCTCATGGCAGCAGCCGCAGCTTTTTCAGCTGCTTCAGCTGCAAGCTGATTTAATTCGTAGAGCAGAAAAAGATTGTGCAATGTGTGTGGGTGCCTTGCTCAATGTTGCAATACCCTACATATGCAAAGCTATGTCAGGATAGATCGTCTGATGTAAGAGCTTTTGGCTCTTATGCTGCCCTCCTTTTGCGGTAGCCATGGATCAAGCCATTGAACATCGGAAGCCTTCACCTGTTTCGTCGACTTCTTCGTTGCATTCTGCTTTTGATGCAACATCTGAACCAGTTTCCAAAAGGTGCAAGAATCGTCCCAAGGACGATGATAGTACAAAGAAGAAAAAGAAACAGAAGAAGAAGTCCAACAAGACTTCCAAGTCGTCTACCGCGATGCCATCAAGAACTTCAGATGCTCCGAACTTTTTCGATCCCATTTCGGAAGTTATGTACCC